AACTAGTCCCCGTATGTCCCTTGCCATAGTTGACTCCTTTCTCGCTTGGAATTTTCCATAGATATAAAAAAAAAAGTGGGAAACCGTTTTCTCGCAGCGAAGTCTCCAACTTGCATATTTTTCAGCGTCACTTTTTCGCAGTGAAGGGAAGAACAATTTCGAATGTAAAGTGCCCAATTGTTAAATATTTAGTGGAATAACAACAAATGAGATAACAAATTTCGACTTGGTACCCATCATAACCGCATTTTCTTTTAGGGAAAAAAAAATAGTTGGTATTTCCCGTTAAGAGACCCACTAAAATAGGGGAAAAATTCAAAAATCAGGTATTAAGTATAGGGTAATTCAATTTACAGGTTTTAAGTTTCAAAATTCAAAACTCGAATAGTAATTAATTAATTAAATATATTTTTTCATTAAATATATTAATGTCACAATTATATAATAATGATCACAAGTGCGTACTTATAAGTCATAACTTATTTATTGGTCACTTATTATTTTACAGTCACAATTAAAAATTTTAATAGGTCATAATTTATTTCGTCGATCACAAATAAAAAAAATTATAAATCACAATTTATTTATTGGTCACAAATTTTCAAATTGGTTACAAATAACAAATTTTATCGATCACAAATTATCGAATTAGTTAGTTACAAATTATTTCTCTGTCACAATTATCAAATTTTTAGGTCACAGATCACAAATTAACTAAATAGTTGGTTATAAACACCAAAAACTCCACCCCTCAGTCACAAATTATCAAATTTTAAGTCACAATTATAATTGGTTACAAATTAATCAAATAATTGGTCACAGACACTAAGCACTCTACCCTACCCCGATCCCACCACTAACCTTCCACAATTGCAACCACAGCATCAACACACACCATTGAACAAATTGTGAGCCACCATAACCTCACTAGAACTACCATGACGTCACCAACACTGAAATTGCCGAAGCCACCACCTCAAATCCACATATAACAATAATCACAACCACAAACACAACCACAACCACAACCACAATCACAACCACCCACCCAACAAAAATAACCCCCACTCGCCCCTCAGGGCACATCCGAGTTGGTGGAACAATCACTTCGCTGGGACGCTGGAAGCAAGGGTGGAGAATTCGATTCCTGGAGTTAACACTGGGTGCTAAAATGGAGGGGAAGCCATTTGGTTGAACAAACGCCCAGCGAGGAGAGCTCTCTTTGCGGATAGAGTCCAAATGAGTTGTGGGAACCTGGAAGCCAATAAGGGCACATCCTGCGATTTACCTCCCTGAGCTGCTGAGGGGCCGGAGGTTCAGGGACAAGGATCTAGTCGGACGCAAGCCTGGACACCTTGTAAAAAAAAAAAAAAAATAACCCCCACTCCACCACTGACACCAACCGAGCTCTACATCATCTCACCACCCAACACCATCTGCGTCAACTGAACCACCACCTGCACCTACACCACCACCCCCTCAAAACTCTGACTAAGTAGTAGATCTGATTAAAAAAACCAACCACCAACAACAGATCGGATTAGAAAAATTATTGGCAAACTCCATCAACCACCAACAAATGCAGTTGCACACGGAGGAAGAAGAAACCACCACGTAAAAATCGCGATGTTGCTACTCGTGGTGGCACAACGGTGGTCAATGTTGCTTCGCAAGATACTGTGCCGACGCACGCAGTTGCACACCGCCAATTTGCCATACTTAATAAGCAGCAACAGCGACGATTGAAACGATCTGTGGATGGTATGAGCTATGGACGGGACGTGGGTGGTGGTGGTGCAAGTGGTGATAATGTGGCCGTGGAGGTGATGGTTAGGCGGCCATGGCGACGGTTGTTAATTCGAATAAAGAGAGAAAAATAGAGAGGGAGGAAAAGAGGATAATGATGTTAGGGTTTGGAAGGATGGGGTTGTGGTAGGTAAAATAAATTAATTTTAGATTATTATTATTATTTTAGATATTTATAAATTGAATTATTACCTTATTTTTAGTGAACTAAACCCAATACCGGATTTTTGGGGGTGACAAACTTAAATACATGTGTTTATGTTATTTCCTCTTAAAATAGTTGGTGTCAATTTTTCGTCCAAAAACATATTAACAATGTACGTGCACATTGAATTGAGATCTATTTTCTCTATTTAGAACATCTAGTTAATAAAAATACATAATTTCAAATGTCACGTGCCCAAATATCAAACATTTAGTGAAAAGACAATCATCAAGAAAATAGATCTCAACTTCTTGAACAACAAATTCTCAATTTCTTAGGGTAAAAATATAACATATTTTAGAAAGGGAAAAAGAAAATAGTATAGTAGTTGATATTTCCTTTCCTCCAACCTCCAAACCCACACCACCCCTTACAAAAAAGTAGATTGTATTTAATGATCAAGAACAAGGACTGACCCTATCTGTCGGTCATCCTCTCGAATTCTTCGTTAGTGTAAAAAGGACACGGCAAACGAGGGTCCCCTAAACAATTCAATATGCCAAATTTTTATTTTATAATATTCAAAATTCAAATTTTAGAACCCTATTTAATTGTTTTTTTCACCTATTTTCGGGCTGCTCAATTTCTCAACTACTTCTCTGACTCATCTTTATCTCTTCATTAAGATTTTTGATACCTTCATATATGTATATATATATTTTTCAAATTATTCAGTGATCATCACATTGCAATAAACCTGCCTGCAGCATCATGGTACAATGTCAAATGTTTCATTGTCTTCTACATTAACCTTCATTAATTATTGTGTTTGTGTGTAAGTATTAGAATGTGTAGACTTAGGATATGATTACACAATCATTCATTATTAGGCAAAATCTAATTTTCTTTATTTTGTTGTTTTGAACAATGTGTACGAGATGATAACGAATGCCGTTTATTTTTCAGTAAATATATCGATAAGATTGATTTAAATTTTGTTAAAGGTACAAGCAATATATAAAATGTTGGAACTAATTCTCTTAATAAAGTTGATTTTTAAAAATTGAACGATAAAATTCAGTATAATATTAGAGTTTGTTAAGTTCAAACAAACAATTCAATCCATCTGAAACTCAAAGGAATAACTGAATTTCAATATTGATGTTTTCATATGAATCATTATATTGTGGAGCATGTGAAATTCCACTTTGGTTAAAAATGAAATCAATAACTAACTTATAACGGGTTTGACACTCACAATTAACGCTTGTTGACTTGCTGAGATAGAATCCAAAATCTTATAAATTTGATCGTTATTTGATGAATTTTTTTTTTCTATGTGCTCTCAAAAGAAAGTATTTATTGAAATCGCGTATCTCTAAATAATACCACCCTCATCTATCCTATAAATGTCTAAGTTACGAGATAAGAAGGTATGACAATTGGATTAGAGCCGCATGTACTCTCTTCCTTTCTTTTTTTTACTTAATTGGTTTCGAGCTTTATCTTCATCACCTTTTTGGAAGTTAAATATATAAGACGACCACTTGGAAATTAGACGGTGGAGCAAGCTGAGTACTAACTTCGAGTTTCATATTCACGATGTTAATTTTCTTATGACGCGAATGGTGGAAAAAAATGGTATAATATTTGTATTAGTGTATACATATATGTGGGGAAATAGGATTCCACCCTCAAAAAGTTCCATTTTAGCGGAATAATAAATTTCCTTTTAAACTTATTATTTATCCTATCTCGATTATGTTCACACTTTCTCAACAATAGTTGTATCAGAAACGGGAAAATGGAGGAGTCCGAGCATCAACTTTGAGTTCGATACTCACGATTTTAAGACACAGATAAAATGGTATATAGATTTTTCGACGTATTAATGTATACATACATTTATAGATACACGGTACATGTACACTAGAGAGTGGGTACATGAAGTCGTGGTCATTTCTGGAACTCCAGCTGGTAGGGCCAGTCTCTGCTGAGAGCTTTTGTCTTTTTAGTTTGGCATTCAATTTTCTCCCTTGTTATAACCCCCCTCAAACAAGTCGCCCTTTTCATCTCTCTCTCTCTCTCTCTCTCCTAACATGTATATATGTCTTAATCGCCCTCTGTATTTGGCTGAAACCCTAATATTTTGAGCCAAAACTCTCTCTTACATTCTCATTTTTGCTACAATTTTTCTCCAAATCGTACTAGTTTAAACATTTTGTGGGTTTTGATTCCTAGACTTCTTTAACTCAGATTTTGCGACGGTTACGTACATTGAACACACCCATTGGATACATGTAAATAACGACTATATGACACGTTTTAACAAGTTAACCTTAAATTACCAAACAAGTCATGATCAAGCTCGTAACACGGATATGCGACATGAGATTTTATTTATTTATTTATTTATTTTTTTATCTGTGATTATGATCTAAAATGCTCGAGACTTGAGAAATTTTATAAATTAATTGTATTTATTGTAGCACGAAAATTAATGATGTTGGTGATTAGATTTATCTTGTCTTTTAGCATATTGCATCTGAATCCGAATTGATGGAAATAGTTGATTGAAAAGATAAACAAGAGAAAAAGTCTATTTTCTTTAGACTCCCTAGAACACCTGATCAACATGTGCAATCACTATATACATATCGAAAAAGCTTGAATTATTAAATATTGTACAATTAAGAATAAGAAAAAACAGCTAAGCAATTGAACAGATTTTTTAATTATGGAAAAACAATTATCGAGTAATTATGGAAAAAGAATCGGGTCCAAATAAATGAATTGACAGCTTAAATGAAAGATTTTGTTACTATAATTAAAAACAGAAAATATGAAAAGTAATTTTAAATGGAAATCACAATGACAAATAATTATAATTTTGGTAGATAGTGTTTGTCTATATAATATACTTATCTTGATTGAGCTTGAAACAGAATCATCAAATATTTACTTTTTTTTTTGTCCCATTTATATAAGTTGACTTACCTTATTTTCTTGTCACAATTATATATAAGCTGACTTTCCTCATTTTCAATTATATATAAGCTGACTTTCCTCATTTTCTTGTCACAAACTTCTTGGCAAAAATTACTTTCAATAACATTAAATAAGATTTCGTAATTCGTGTAAAAAACAAAATTAGTCTATGTAGCGAAGGGAGTATAGTTTTGGATTAGATTAATGTCGTGTTTAATTGTAACTTCATATTATAGTAATAAATTTTCTGTAAATTTCTCTGATGTCCATAGCAAAAAAGCATTCCTCAACATCAAAGTTTTTTAATTTATCATTGCCGAGTATGAGTATATAAGAGTGTGTTGGTTTTTTTACCGTTTCTCAAAAAAATTCTTCTCCCGGTTTAAATCTATATAGTAACTTAGTAATTTGATTATAATTATTAGTCCATGTGAGAATCGATTTCGAAATTATGCAATCAAAGCTCACATAATTACAAGATAAAATAATGGAGCAACGAAAATGAAAGGCAAGAAGTTGATGGAAAATTATCCTATTGTAATCGCAGAGGTTAGCCAAACAAGCTCAAGGCAATTGTTTTACTCGGGAATATCTGGAGTTACATCTAACTTTTTTCTTGTTACTCAAAACGTGCTCGGGACTAAAAGCATGGTTGTGACACTAACATCTAACTTTTTTGTTGAGCCATGAAATGTTCAAAATGTCAGCCCCTGGCTCAAGAGGAGCACTTCTACGAGTTAATCAAAAGTTGAATGAGAAAAAGAAAGAGAAAGTCTCGAATTCCCGAGTGGACATATTCTATTTTCATAATTCCCCTTGACAAAATCTAACGCACTTTTACATCTGTAATTGACTATTTTCTGACTAATTCAACAACCCTATTCTTAAACCTACTGTATATAAATATACATATAGATTTTAATATACACACAAAATAATCTCTCTCTCTCTCTTGGAACCTTAATTTGAGAAAACTTATGTTGTTTCTCTTATTCTGATTCTTATGTTTTTATATTATCATAGAATTTCAGACTTTCCTTTAACTCTCTTTTTGCACATAAAAAAATGGTTTCTGAAATTTTACTTATTTTCTTGAAAATTGGTGGCCGCGAGAAGAGTCTTCCGCCGTTCCTCCGCCGCCACCACCACCACCATGGAAAGAGGCAGCAGCAGCAAGTCAAAGATGTGCCAAAAGGGTGTTTGGCCGTAAAAGTTGGACAAGGAGAGAATCAACAGAGATTTGTAATCCCAGTTATTTACTTCAATCATCCACTGTTTATTCAATTGTTAAAAGAAGCTGAAGAAGAATATGGATTTGATCAAAAGGGCACAATTACAATTCCTTGTCATGTCGAAGAATTTCGGAATATTCAGGGAATGATTGATAGAGAAAACCACCATAGCCACCACCATCAAGTCAGCCGTTTTAGGGCTTGAATTTCATCTACAAGCATGTTTGGTCTAGCTTAAAAGTCAAAAAGGAGTTACAAAAATAGTTTCTTTTTGATTTATCACTTGATCTCGAGGAAATAAGCATACTTCTATGGTAGTTTGGTGAGGAAAACATGCCATTAATAGGGATTATTAATGATGATGACGATTAATTTTGTTGCTTGAAGTTACACAAGTTTACTGTTTTGCTAGGAAAAAATGGATTGGTAAAAGAAATTGTTGTTAATTCTTCTCCTTTACCTTTTTTAATTCTTGAGTAAATCTCTCTTCAAACAAAAAATAAATTTCTTCATTAGAATATATTTGATGGTATTCAATTATTGAGGTGCTTAATAAGATCTATTTCAATGGTGGCATTTGAAAATTAGCCAGCTTTGAGACTATTGTTAACTATTAAATCCTTTTAAGAATTTTAATAATTGTAATTAAACTTGATGTTTAAATTAATTTATTGCAATGGATAGAGACGTTTTGGTATCATTTTCTTGAAATGTAAGGCTACAAGTTTTTGATATGACAGTGCAACAAACTGCTTTGATTTCAAATGCACGAATTATTAAGTTTAATTTCTAATACATTTGAAATTACTTTGATTTGATTTTTTTTTTCTCTAATCCGTTCAGTTTATAGTTACTTGGATCATCACGCCACATTTATTTAGGTGGAGAGCAATAGCAGGGAACACAAGAATGGTAGAAGGGGGATGTCACAAATATTACTAACATACATTGGCGAACTCGACAGTATAATAAACAAAATTTTAACTTTTCTGATTATTGTATCCCTTGTCTATTCAACTTTCACAAAAATCCTAAACGGGTGTTTAACGGTAAACAGAACTACGTCCTAAACTATCAAAACTAAGCAAAAGAATTACTACTAATTCAACACTAAAAATTGCAGCGATAAGTGCAGATTTATATCAAACGCAAGAATTGATAATAATAGGGGGAAAAAAAGGAAGTCAATGAGCTGTAAGAACTTACAAAGACCAGTAAAAGATAAAACCAAGCCTGAAGATTAAAAAATAATGCAATTTTACCAGCAGAATTGCTGATCTTTGTAACATATACACAATCATGACAACTTTAAAAGTACTGAAATCCTAGTATAATATTAATAGACAAAAACTCTACGGTGTGAACTATTGACATACAGCCTCGATTTTTTCATATTGAAAACTTGATAATACTTCTTTTTATGGATAAATACCCGTACAGTTCTTCCAGTGACTGCACTTAAAAATGGTATGAGCATGAAGAAATTTCTCGACTTCAAACAGCATAAACATCATTCTAGTTACCTCCTAAATGAGAAAACTTCCCACGATCTTTTCAATGCGCGAATGCCATTGTTGATCGAATGATAATTTGAAGCAAAGACGAGGACGACGAAGAAGAAGAAGAAGAAGAAGAATGAGAAAGTAAAACCTATTGATGTCTCGTATTTGAGCTACGAAGTGTCAAACCGTGCAAAAATTTTGTATATCCAAGTAAACTGAGTTTTCTGTCACTCCTTATCCAATCTTTGAGCACAGAACGAGCAGTTGGGCCCACGTTTAATTCCTGCATAAATACGACAAACTTAAGACCAGAAAGAATATCGAGATATATAAACTCGTAAAGCTATCAATTTAGATACCCGAGCCAATTCTTCTACTGATATTACTCGGTTACCCTCTTGTTCAAAATGCTCAAATGCCGTTGATGCAATTTGCTCCCATTTGTCAAGGGCCTCCAATTGATATGTGCTGGTTGCAGCTGCACAGAACTCTTCAAAGTCCATCTTCCTATAAGACAACGGTGCCATCTGAAAAGTGAAAACAACATCCCCATTGAAAGGGTCAAGTTACTGTGATTAAAAAGAGAAAAAATAATCATAATAACTTGGTCCTCAATTACACTCGTCCAATTCATCTGGTATTAAGTTTTCAACGACAGTTGAAACAGTGAGCATTTGATGTGTAACTTCACATTTTTACCTTAAAAAATAGTGGCTAGGATCGCATATGGAGAATATCTATTCAAAGAAATAGGACATTTTTCCAGACAAAATTCAGAATGTACTGGACAAATAAAATATTTGATAATTCATTTCACATATTTATGATCACAAAACTTATAATCTAGCTCAAAAAGAAAGACAAATAAACCAAAGAAACTTATTTGAAATATGCAAGATGTATTCTCATAAAATTAAAAAGTGCAGAAGCTGACCGCATGTAGAATATCAGGGACCCTAGACACCTTCATAGCCTCAGTGGCATTTTGGGCAAGAGTCTGCAATTCAAATAACATCCTTGTTTCAGCATCAATTTAATTTCATGACCCAAAGTAAAACGCTCTCTTTATCAAAGAATAACCTTTCTTCTCTTTTTTTGTTATTATAGCCAACAGTTCATTAAAGACACTCTCTCGTAAGAAGCAGAGAAAGCAAGACTAGGACCAGCGAAGATCTTTTAAAAATGTTCTTCCAAGTATACTCGTGGGGATTAATATAGTCTTCGAAGGAATCAACGTGTTCTTTAATTTCCAAACAGGATTAAATACGCTGATCACTTTCACCAAATTACAGTCACATCCACAAGGACACAGTCTAAAAGATAAAAATACGACGATATCACATGGATGCATAAGAAAGAGGAAGAGAGTGATGTATGGACATGTGTACATATGCAGTCAGATTGATAGCTCTCAGAGGAGAAGTTATAATAGTAAATACCATTTTGAAGTTGTCAAGAGAGACCAGCCCATCCTTGGGCTCCAGAAGCATGAATTGAGCTTTAAGATAAACAAATTCATCCTCAGTCAAAGCTTTTGAAAGAGCCTATGAACATGGTAGAAACAAATGAAATTATTAATTATAGCTCAAAATGAAGTTATCAACGTAAACATGTACAGCTAAAAAAATGAAGTTATTGTAGCCAAAAAGATGAACTAGTTCATTTTGGCAATTTGATAGAAGCTCATAAGAAATAAATTACACAATTCCTTCTGATATTACAAAAGAACTTGATTTATTCTAAAGGTGATTTATTGGAGCAGTTATTGGAGCAGGTAGAAATACTATATTGAGATATCAGCATGTAAAAAGCAACAAGATTGAAGACAACATCATAAAAGAGAAACAGAACACTTCAGTTAATAAGGAAGACAAGATACATCAAGCAACAGAAACCATTTACATTATACATGAGAACTCAGAGAAAAACTTATTGGTTTATCCTCCAGACGAATCCAGCACAACAAAGAACTTAGACCATTGGTACACATAAACAAGGTAGACGCAGTCAAGTTGATGAGTAGCATACAAAAATATATCATTCTGAAGGACATTAATTTGACGCAATTACCCATGCCAAGTAGTAACATCAGACTTCCCAAAACTATAGAGATGTATCATCAAATGAAATGATGATGCTCCATTCAAGGATCAACGCATATTCTATCAGTAACTTACTAAAATTCTAGTTCCACATCCCAAACTTAAAATTTTCAAAAGCCATGGTAATCAATATTTGTAAAAGCTCTTGTACAGTGTTAATTATAAAAGAGAGAGATCAATGTTCTGCCTCTAAAATTTCTAGTCTGTTCATATTTATGCAATTCAGCAGGTTCTTATGAAGTAATATTATTATTTTACTTTATATCATGTTTATTCTACATGTTTGCCAACAAAAATGTAAACAGATCAAACTTCGCATCAGTCCCACAATCTGTCACCATACTACAGAATATAAAGATGTGTCCCAATGTTATAGAGTATTAGCATGTTGGCTAATCTAAAAAGTTAGCTTTTAGGTAGATTTACTGAATAAGTTAAAAACTAAGTTTTATAATAAATATTTTTTTATAGATGACACTTAGAAAGAACTAAGTTATTTATTTCCATAATAAAGTAAGAGTTACTTTTTTTTTTTTTTTTTTTTTTTTTTTTTTGAAAAATGAAACAAGGTAGTTATCCAAACATGTTGTGGGACAAAAGAAATTTAAATTAACAATAATTCCCTTTTAGGCGTAGCCAAACATGCTCATATCAGGGGTTCAATATTTAATAATCAAGTATGCAAGGTGCTATAAAATTTTAAGTGAAACACGAGCGCTCATACCAGTATTACGTGGAGAGGATATATGGATTTTTCATGAAGTACTAAAAATATTTTCAAAGTAAAATGAAGCTTCAAAATTATGTGAATGCGAAGAAATGTTGATCAACAGAAGTATGCAAAAGCTTTAACTTAACAATTTTTCAATCTCCCTGATCATATAATTTAATTATTTGAGGACCAGCCCTAATGAAAAAACTGATAAGCAGTACGGCGACTCACAAATTCAGCCAGTGTCCATACTGTATTTAATTCTATATCATATTTTACTAGCACAACCATGGAGTACATGAGAACTAAGTTGACCAATGTGGAACCTTCCATCCAACATCAACGACCACAGAAGTAAGACGTAACCAACAAGAAGCATTATGCACAACACAGACAATAAAGTAAAATATTAGATGGCCAAACAAGCATTTAACTCTTTGAAATAGTAAACTGAGAAAAAAAACTCTGATTCTAATACTCGTCCTGCAAAAGCAACCAGTGATTCATACCAGTCGGATAAAATAATACCTTCAGCGCAGCACGTTTGAAAGGTGTAGCGTGTAGATATGACTTAACCAACTTGTAGACTAAAATATCTAAAGGAATGGGATAGTTCTCACTTCGCAACCATGGATGCGCTGCATTTCAAAAGGTTTGCTTCAGTACATATACAAGACATTGACAACCGAAGTATATACAGATTTTGCATTGTGAATCAACAATGAAATGTAGATGACAGATCTAAGATTGTCTTGCTGTGCACCTTGGTGATTACCGTATTTTCAAGAAATATTTAGAGCTCTCCCACAAAGAAAACATTTAACTGAATAAATGACCTCAAGCAACAACTTCCCATAAAATGTGTTAAAACTAACATCCTCCACAGCCACGAGTAAAAAGATCCACAAAATTACATAAGCAAGCGAAATTTACCACTCAAAAGATATTTTACTCAGCAGTTAAGAAGCAGACTACTCACTCAAAGCTTGTGCAGCGGTCATTCTTTTTCTGTAATCCTTATTTAAAAGCCTTTTTACGAAGTCCTTGGCTTGTGGTGAGACGGAAGTCCAAGGCATATCCTCAAAGTTAGGGTCAGCTCTTAATACAGAACGAAATATTCCAGATTCTGTCCTTGCCCAGAAAGGTCTGCTTCCACATAGCAAAATATAGCAGATTACGCCAATGCTCCAAATATCAGCCTCCAAACTATAGGATCTATGGAGAACTTCTGGAGCCACATAATAAGCACTTCCAACAATATCATTCAGTCTTTCATCTGCAGAAACAAAAATTTTGGAGCGCATAAACGACCATTTTTTTCTCAATTCTTGGAGTATGTTCATCGTAACAATGACAGCTATAAAAGACTTGTGATGGCTATAAAGGAATGATATACCAAAATGATAATAACTTTTCTTTATACTACAATTTTCTAGGCATATTGGACCAACTGGAGAAGAAACATTCTATTGAAGTCTATATTGTCCATTTTGAGATTAAAATAAGTGAAAAACTAGCAGCACAAATCAAATGTCAACATTAGAAAATTCTTGCAACTTTGACAATAGAAAATACCACTGATAATAATAAGCTAATTACTGGAATAGCATGAAAAAATTAGTTAGACAGTCATGTTCTGCAAAAAGACAGGTTGAAGAGTGAAAATTTAAACTGCCAGCATGTTATTTACTTTCCACTAACTAGGCTTAATTTCTAAGAGTCTTTGGTTTACTGCATCAGCAAATACCCATGAATGATTAAGGCCATTAAAGTAGAGATGCTTTCCAACAAATTACCCAGGCCAGGTCAAAAGTAAACTGGCAAACAAACCTATTGTAATAATTTATTTTCATCTGTACTCCATTCTTAAAGAATGGCAACATCTCATCCGCTCTATTGAACTTGGAAATAAATTGAAGCAGGCTATTACAACTACACGGCAGCACTAAAGAAAAAGTGGCACAACCAACAAACAAGCAATATGATGCTCTAGAGGCCTATAAAATTTGACGAAGTGTGGCACCGGGCGTTTCTATTGAATTTCATTGCAAAGAGACGTCAAAGAAAGCCTAATCGACAAGGCATATATAGAAGTCAAATTGCCTCAGTCTGATAAACGAAGAGAAAAAAATAAAATAAAATAATACTTTAAAGCTCGTGTGATACTTACCCGGCCTGATAAAGTCAGAAAGACCAAAATCAATAAGCTTCATATCAGCGTTTTCACTTCTAGAGGTAAAAAGAAAATTCTGCAATGCAAGCAATTCAATCAATATCCTCGAGAAGCTTAGAAGAACGATGATCATTTGACAAACACAATCAATGAACAGTTGGGTGACAAAGCTATCAAAATACCTCAGGTTTTAAGTCACGGTGGACAACACCTTGGAGGTGACAAAATGAAACGACACTTAGAATTTGAACAATGATAAGTTTTGCTTCCTGTTCTGTATATCGGCCACCTCTGCAATAATTAAAATAAGAGGAAAAAAAGCGCCCATTAAAAAAGGGCATATAATTAGAAGAAATATGAATTTTTTGTTACTCATTTATTGAGGCCCTGAGCCTGAGGCCTACACGTTAGCTAGAGAAAGTACAATTTCACTCACTTCGACAATATTCTGTCCAGTAGCTCTCCGCCATCACACAACCTATGATAAAAGAAAACAGAGCTAATAATTGGTCTAGATTATTCACATGATACAGCTAACATACATGAAGAATAATAGCTACAACTGATAGCTCCTCAGGAGAATTTAGAAAAGTAAAAGTTAACCAGTGACAATCACTTATAGTATGCCATTTATTTACTGACGGTGGCCAAAGGACCACAATTCTTTTAAAAATGAATCACAACATGATATCTAATTCTCAATATTCATTTGATTCAACGAGTCTTCGTTTGTTTCCAACTATTTTTTTCACACCTTTGCTACATTGAATTCAAAGAAAATCTAAATGACAATAAGAAAGACAGATCAATTTTCACAAAATGGTGCATAAACAACTGTAACTTTAGAAGACAAGGAAATACATACTCCATTATTACATAAACGTTGTTGGCATCCTCACAAGCATCATAAAATCTAACCAGATGCTTATGGCCTGAAAGTGCTTTCAAAATTTTCACTTCTCTGCGAACATCTTCAATGGATATTGCAGTTGTCATCTGTCAAAGAAAGTTTGCTTAGATAAATGTATATTCAAATAAAGAAAAATAACTATCAGAATGCAGAAAATTATGGAGTGCACAAAATACAACATAGTTTGCTTAGATAAATGTATATTCAAATAAAGAAAAATAACTATCAGAATGCAGAAAATTATGGAGTGCACAAAATACAACATAGTTCTCTAAACTCGATTCATGTTTTCTAATTTAGGTTTCTCAAATTTGAATTCTCAATTAATAAGAGGTTAAATTGAAGAGCTCATTGGCAAGGAGAAATATATGATGTTTTATTTTTATTTTTTTTTATTTTTTATTTTTAAACTTGTGCACACTTGCAATGGGCCATTTATACATTAAAAAAAGGGTATTACACACAAAGTAGAATCAAGTTCTACAAGAAGAGATTTAGATCTTCAATGCTCAATTATATTTGATAGGTTTACTTGGCATGGTTTTACCCACCAGAAACAGCCCGGAATAGATAGCTGTCTTTAAAATATTGTCATTTTGATTAGAACTCCTTAATCTTCATTAAGTGAAAAATTTAATTCTCAATTAATCTCAATTTGTCTTGTACCAGTTACATTCAGATTCAACTAAATTGTGAAAATCTAAAGAAATTTCCAGATCTCGTGCCTAGCTTCGAAAGTAGAAACCCGGCTATCTCACGGCAATCAAAAATTAATGACAAATATGATCAATTAAGGAAAGCAAAGGAGTCGTTTTACCATGAATTTTTGGATATATGGTCCATAATTAAGATTTCAATTCTCAAAAACTAAGTCTAGACTTCCAGTTTTTCTAAGCAAAAATTATTCTGATGCCAATTCCAGCTATAACAAAAGAGAAAGATATAAACATGCTACAAAGTCTAAAAAAGACAATAAGCAGTGGGATTGTGGAGCTTTAATCCAGGTAACAGGTTAGATAAAAATTTCCATGTTTCACTCCAACCATGATATGCCAGATATATTATTTTTCTTCCAGAGCAGTATCATAAAAAATAGATCATAATGGCTATCACACAGCAGCAATTCCAAGGCAAACAAGCAAAGTTAAATGGTCAACGCATGTCAGAACTCAAAACCAATGTACCGGCACTCGTGAAACTATAAAATATGATAATCTGTGGCTTTGAAACCGTAAGAAGATCGACATGGGAAGAAAAGTCTCAATCACAGTTTCCCAGGCATATGCCTCAAAGGCCAATGCTAACTGGGCATCAAGAGAAGAGATCCTGCTATAAGCAGTCTCGTGAATTACAGAACCATTTACCTTAACTTTGAAACCAGAAAATTTTTTATTCACCAAGAAGCTGGTAGGCAACCAAATAAAATTCCTGTTGTAGGATCCCTGAGGGATTAGCTTGTCGAGATGGAAAGCAAATCAGGATTGGCTTGTTGAGAAGAAGTGCAAGGGTCAGTATCTTAAGTCATGGAAATGTCCCCAAGATAACAAATAACTACACTTTTTTCTAAATAGTACGTGTGGGTGAAATACTCCCTGTTTGTTAATACGTTAAGAGTTATGCATGGATCATCACTTTTAAAACAATAAAAACATTCAAATAAAGGATTAAAAGAAAGACGTGTAAAAAAAAAGGATTAAAGAAAGACAGACTTCACTTGCACATTGAAAAACACACCCAATGTTTTTTCGCCCAGCTCTATCTTCCAATTCTTGCAATACTTTTTTCCACCAGAAATCTCT